ATAGAAATGATCTTAGAAAGTGTTTTTTTTTTCTATTTTACTCTATTGATTCTGAAACTGAAAAACATCATTTTTTTTAATATTAAAATAACTTATTTTTTATAAATGCTACTTTCATGTTTCTTAGTTTAATTTGTAAAATCTTAGTCCTCAGTTTAACTTGTAGGACAGATTAAACTAAGATTTGAACAATTAATGTTTGCTGTTGAATCATAAATAATTTTGTCAATAGAAAATGTATGTAATTTTTTTATAGCCAACACCAACAAAAAAAAATTCGTGAAGTTGTAAGTGAAACAAAATGTGCCGATTTAGATGAATGGAAAGAAAAAGCATATGCTACTTTTGCTGCAATACCACCAGTAGAAGTTGATGTGAAGTACTTCAGATCTCTACATTGCATCATTGCGTTCACTTACAGCGATTTTCACATGTTGAAAGAAAAGGATATTTGTTTGTTTGTTTTTTAAATGTTTCAAAAATCGACGTGAAATTCTATATGATATAAGTTGATATTTCAAAGAGATAATTTTGTCATTTATCGATGAGATTTCTATCTCTTAAATTGTCAATTAAAACTATGTATAGAAATATAATTTCATACAAGCTTCTTTCATTGACGACTCATTAAAAAAAAAAATTTATCTCAATTTATTGAGAATTACTCAAATCTCAAACTCAAAAATATTTTCAAGCTTGAGACTATTCTTATCACTGTTTACCATACCGCTGCATTTTGTAAATTAAGTAAAATGAAATATATTAATTGTTATGTATGGTGCCGCGATTTTTTAAAAAATTTAGTCTACTTTTTTTTAAATAATCTAAAATTAGGTATTGCTTATTAGATTAATTGTTTGGTGATTTATTCGGAATTTCTCGATTTCGAGTTTGATTTAAAGAACTTACTTCAATTATTTGATGATGAGGCAATGATTATCATCCAAAATCCTTCAGTTCTGTCAATTTCAATAAATATTTTTGCCCGAATACATAAATGGCGATGCAAGAGTAAAAGTAAATTTTATTTCCGAGAAAGATGAAGTATAATGACATAAGATTTTGTGAGGGATGAAATATTATAATATTATTTATCATTGGCATTAATGAATGGGCAGATTGATAATGTATATTTATATTAAGTTGAATTTTGAAATTTTCGATATCTAAATGAAAGAAATTTTTGAGAGAAAAAACCAGGAAATTAATTATATATTATTGAATATTTTCTTAAGTAGTCGCTGGAAGCTTGTAAATATCAATGAATTTCATTGATTGCAGAATCACGTTTTGCGTTGCTTGCGATATGGATTAACAATCTCGGGTTTGATTGTGGCGCGTTATTTTTACTCGATGGAGTCACGAAGATGTAATTAAAGATGTCAAAATTTGTCATGAATCCTTTTTTCCAGTTTCATACGCTCAAGGTGATTTTTTCAATGCTGAATTTGAGGTATTTTTTTATTTTTTTTCTAAAATTAAACCATAATATTTGATAAATTTATTTATTCATCTATAAACAACGTATCATATTATCCTATCATCTTTTTTTTTCTAGGGAAATTAAATTCATTCAATGATAGATTAATGAAGGTAAAAAACTCTTGTTTATGGTTTTTATGCGCTGCATTTTTAACACAACTTTTTTTTTATTCTAGAGATTTTAAGATTCTTTTTTTGATTCTTAACACAACTTTTCTTTTGATTCTAGAGAAGACAATTAAATAATTTGAGATAATTAAAAGTTTTTGTAACTTAAATTTACTATTTTCAGTAAGAAGAAGCCGGTCAGTTTGAACTTCAAGCACCATCGTCTGAGTCTAAGAAAAATTTCAATCGTATGCTTCAGAACTACATTCGCGTCTATAGGAATTCATCATGAAGTGAATCATTTAAAACAGAAAAATTTTGGTTTTATATGAGTGTATGTCAGTTTTTCTAAATTTTAAATTCTATCGATAAATTTTAGAATTTCCTCATTATTAGATTTGTAATGCAAAAATTTAAACGTACTTGTGTTATCGCTGATATTGCAAGATTGCAAATGTAATGCGAATAGTGAAGCATAACTTGCTGCAATTATTTAGAATGATGTTTTTTGTAATGCAACATTAGTAATATAGATAATAATTATTATCGCTCTCAAAATATTTTTGCAGTCCTCACGTTAATAATAACTTGAGTGGAATGATCATTCGGAAATCAGTCTTTTTCTGGCGACCAACAACTTATAGAACATAAGTTTTGAGCACTTGCTAAATTGCTCAAATTTTTTATCATTCAATTTTTCACTTAATCATTAATTGTTATTTTTTAGGAATATTTTTCTTGTAATTTAAGCAACCATGAAAAATTTTATATTTTATCCGTTTCCGTATATGTTTGAATGAGACATCGTTTTGATTGTAATAAAGCAGTCTGAGCACTGCATATTACTTTTAAGTTTTTTTCTTTGAATTTTAAGTGACCTTCATAACTGAAATATTTTAATTTGTTTCAGTTGTCGAATGTTTTGAAAGACGCGGTATTATGAAATGGTAAAGAATAAAAATATATGAATATGCATACCTATATAATTAATTCTTAATGATCTCAAACATTGCATCTTAGGATCATTTGTTATAAAATTCAAATTTAGCAGTATCAATCAAATTTCAGTTACTAAGGCGGAATTGTTTCATTGCCGCTTTGATAAATTTTTGACTTGTGAAGGCTAAAGACGTGATATGATATCATAACTTGAGATGATAAGTTATCAGTAGGACGTGTTTTCTCTTTTTTATTTACTCCTTTTTGACTAATGAACAAGAATTTGCATTTAAAATCTTTTTCAGACAAACTTGATGATTCACTTCAAATATTTCCAAATTTTATGCAGTTTTAGATAAGCAAAAATTTTAGGAAATTAAAAATTTATAAAATTATAAATCCTCCCAATTGGTGTCTAACTTTAAATGTAATAAAAAATACTTAGTGATATTATGGTACGAATAAATTTGTTAAATACACACGCTTTCTCTCTCATCGAGATGCTCCATAAATAATTTTTTGTCTTAGAATTAAAAATATTGAAGCAGATTTATGAAATTAGATTTGATCTGATTTAAAAGATTTCAACTTTTCTCATTTGTGCTTTAATTAAAGAAAAAATATGAGAATCTTAAAAAACCATATAGTAGGCAGTAAGGAAGGGAAAAAATGCAAAGAATTCGAATAAAGTTGATATTAACCATTGTTCAGAGAAGAAAAAGTTAAAACTGATGACTAAAATTACATTTTTTATATTATCCAACTTTTTCTTTTTTTTTTAAATTATATTTTTGAAAAAACGTTTTCAACCGTCTTCTCCTAAACTTTCGGGCGTACTGGGATATATTCAATGTAGGGGATGCATGGCGGATGTTTGTTACATTGAAATATTTCTGTCAATAATGCCTCAAAATACAATCTTTTTTGAGAATATTGTTATAACATCGCGAAAACTCCTATCTAAAAATAATTCCATAATATAAATTATCTCTACATACATAAATCTAATTTCTTAAAATTTTTCATATGTGATTTTCATCATAGATACGTTCAGTTCTCACATTGTAAATTCTCAATTTTTTTTAGACACTTCCAACTTTTCAGACATTGTAAAACAATCTTACAGTATCTTAAATTATCTCTCTTTAAACCTAGTTTTTTTGGTTTATTACACATGTAATCTCATATCATAAATTCTCAATTCTCATGAACATTTCCGATTCTTCACATTTTTATCCTAGACATGCCCAATTAACACTCATATAAAATTCAATCCTAAAAAATTACAATTATTATTTGTCTTTAAGGTCGATTACTACTCGTTAACCAATTTCAATTCCTCCAGTTTTCTTTTATAAATTTCTTCTCTCTTTTTATTGCTCGATTTATTAATATTACGTCTTCGAAAAATAAAGATTTATTAATCTTCCTACTGTATTGCAACTGTTCAATATCAACCAGACAACCTTTCACGACAAATATTAAGGAATTACGAAATGTTTAGCAATGCTTTCTCACTAGTTGAACGGAATCTGAAACATTTGGAATGTTTTCGACATAATATATTATTCATCGAGCAATGACTCTTCCACTGCTTTTCTTCGGGATATAGAAATGTCTTCAAGATTCTGAATAGTCAAGATCCAAGCACTAAAATTTATCTTTCATCAACCCTGCCAAAAAAAAAAACTTGAGGACATCCTCAATCTTCCAATAAAATTTGAATTCCGTAAAGAGAGCCAATAAATACATAAATACAACAGATAAAAGGATAGACTTGTCACAATCACCACAACAAGCACGTTACGATAATAAATAATGACATTTGGGAAAGATGAGACACAACACATAATAATAAGTGCAAAACCAAAAATTCGATTGGAATTTTTTGCAGAAAGATTTGAAAAAACCGCAAAATGCAGAAAGATTCGAAAATAATGCAAAATACAAAGTCGGAAGATTTTACGAGCTTATTTTCTTTTTTAATTTTAGAAGTTATAAAGCTTGAACTTGGATCAAGTTTTAATATATAATATACAAACAAAATCTTATGCTTCTGCTTGAACTATAATCCAAAGCTATGAACTCATAACCATATTTTAACTAACAAAATTTGAAAATATCTGCACCGAAATCTCTTAACAATATTTCATAGAACGAAATCTTTCATTCATGAATATTACTTAGACGAAGCACTTTATCCTGCAAATCTTTCACTGTATTCTATTCGCTACATTTAGTAAGCATATTTGACTACAAATACTTTACAATTATTTTATGAATTTACATAGTATGTGGGAAGTATGCAAAACGGAGAACTTCGTTTTAATTTCGTTTCTGATGTTTTACTGAACTATCAACAATCTTTACGATAAAGTAAAATTTCACAATTAAAGACGATTACAAATAAACGAGTCATTTTTTCAATTATCTCGATACTTGTTCAATCCACGAAGATTTTCCAAGGTTTATTAACTGATCTGATCCTGTAACAGAAAATGAAAGTGATGTGCAAACTTGAGATTTAATATCTAATGGAAAGTTCACTTGAGCTTACCGATGATAACTTCCCATGGTTTCTTTTGGTGACTTCGTAAGCAATTTTCATCTCTGAATATGTTACTCCACCACAAAAACTACTAAGCGAAGTCCCGAGCGATACGATGTCTGAACAAATTTGTTTAGTTGCACATAAAAATATCTTCAGTAAAGAAAACATGTGCACAGTGATATTGATATCGACCGTAGATAAAATCTGCAATCAATTTCAAATAAATAGCATCAAGACTCTAAAATTAAGTGAAATTAAATAAATGGCATCAAAAAAAAATTAGGTTAACATAATTTCCTTAAAGTCCCATATACAACATGTCTTCATTTCTACTCGATTGTAGTTGTTTATATATATGCACATCAAAACAACATAAAGTCAGTACCGATAGTGAAAGCACTGAATCATTTTTCTTAAAAAAGTTAAATAAGAAGAAAAATGATTTAAACAAAACGGTAGAACTTACAGGCAATGGTTCTCGACGCTTGTTGATATCTTCAACAATTGTAATACTTTCATCCATGATGTTGTGCATCTGCAACATGCACAAGCATGCGCATAGCTAATCGATACATTCCATCCGCTCATCCTTATCACTTCGACGCAACGATCGAATCACTTCATTGAGCAGTCCTATAAAATAAATTGATACTATGTGATAAAAAATGAAAAATATTAATTAACAATAGCATAAAAATCTTGAATCTTTAATACAATTCGCTGAATGTAAAAACTGTTGTGTTAGTCTCACTTTAAAACTCGAAATTAACAGACTACGAAGTCGCTAGAAATCTTCAATATCTATTCGTAATTATCTTGGACTACATGCAAATAGTGATAAAAAAAAAGCAGTAAAGAACAAAAAACTGGAAAATATGCACATTTCCTCCTCAATCCGAGGATAGTGAAACAGATAACAATTAAAGATGATTGCTTATAACATTTTCATTCATTTCTACATTTTCCAACCTGTTGGAGTGGTGGTGCATTAGCATTTATTGATGAAACTACTTGAACATAAGCAAAGGGAGCTTCAACGAATATCAGATGAAATTCAAAAGCTTTCACAAGGAAATCCACAGCAACAACGAAAATGCGCACGCTTGAAGGTCACCTAACATTGATGCTTCCAGGATTTTTGACTGAATATTCTTTCCTCTCAAGTTTCACTTCAAGTTAAAGAATGATGTGAACTACTAGTTAGGCATGACAATAATACACGACCGAAATATCCGAAAGAGTTGACACAATTTCTCGTAATAAAATTTTTGGTAATGCTAAGGATCATGCGATCTTAAAGAATTTAAAAGATAGTTTGAAGTGAAATGTAAAGTAGTCCATAGCAGATATTTAAAAAAAAAAAAGTAGGAAAAAAGATGAGATAGATAAAACGTAAAGATATTTATAATTTCAGATGATCACCACTTTCAGGAAGATCACGAAAAACTAATACAAGAGATACAGAAGTTGCAAGAAAATAGGAAAAAAGATGAAAAAAGGTAAATAACAAAAAAATGGTTGAACGTTACATTTTCAAGCAGATAAAATCAAGAATTCTTAAATCTTAAGAAAGATCCAGCCAAATTATCCATAGCAGATATTTATACCGACTAAGAATTGAGTAGCATGAAGTCAGGAGCTGAGATCCTTTATACTCATTAAAATTTTAGACTCAATGAACTAAGAAAACAAATAGAAGCAAATGAGGGAAACAGCGGAAGTAAAAAAAGAATACGCAAAAAACTAGAAGTAAATTAATTAACGTTTTAGACTTTCTCATTTGTTTTATTTCTCGTTTTTTATCTTAATCTTCTTACTTTCAATTTATCATATCCTAAACGTTTGATACTAGTAGCTACCTAACATAACTACCATATATTGTCCCTGTTTTCCTCTCTCCTACTTTAAGATGTATCTAGTAGTCCGTAGTACTTTTCAAGGCTAAGCGAACCAATTCTTTAAAAAATGAAACAACGATTTTCAGAAAGAATATGAAGAGCTGCGAAAAACGCTAGGCGTTGGTGAAGAGCTTAAGGAGGATGAAGAAAGAGCAAACGATTCCAATGAGAATAGATTATCGTTTAAAGCAGATGAAAACATACACTTGTGTGTTTCTGTCATAACGCATTCAAACGTTTGGAGTTCTAAACATATTGAACACCATAAAGGAAAGAAGTATCTAACCTGTAGAACAGAAATTACAAGTCGATTTAACAATTGCTGTAAGGAAGTTTCAATTCCAGAGATGAACAGCATCCAGAAGCAAAACCAATTCAAAAGAATGAATATGGTATCTATGAACACATTAGAAATATAAAGACGGTTAAAGAACGAATGCAGCAAAGGTACAAAAGTGAATTTTATTAAAATATTCAAAGAAAGAAGTCCATTTGGCATCCAATGACAATCTTTTTAAATTGTTAATGTTGTTTCAAAAAATTTCAGGAAGAAAATTGAATCGGAAGCGGAAGATGCATTTAATAATGGAATAGCCAATTTGTGTGAATTAGAAACAGATATCGGTAATATGATAAAACGAATGACCAGTCCAATTATCCAGAAATTTGAAGAAGAATTAAAATTGATTCGGAAGAAAAGTAGCAAAGACACAAAAATGCTGAAAATAGAAGTTCGTTTCTTTTTATCCTATTTTCCTTTTTTAGCTCACAATTTTCCGGAAAACTCCCATTGTTATTAATAGATGGATCAATTGGATTTTAGGAAAGTTCATAAGGCTGTATGGAATCATTTTATCGTAAGCCAAAAACTTGCAATGAAGCTCGAAATAATAGACACTTTTTAACTGACTGTGGTTTAAGTGCAACTAAAGCTTTGAAAATTTTACTGATGCGCACTTGAAAGATTAAAAAATGCAGAAAACAGTCTAGTTGCGTTCGAAAAGGATCTATAATGATTTAGAACAAAAGAAAGAATGCCTAGAAAGCCATTTCTGCTGCTTCATCCTGATTTCAAGGAAATGAACAGAGTCGTCAAATAAAAGTAAAATATCATCGCATCATTCTACTCTCCACATGGCTTATCATCAACTAATTTTATGATATCGATAATTTTAGATAGCAAAATTGGAAAGGCAGATAAACAAAATTTACGAGGCGCTTGAAATATGTGTAACAACAATAGCTGAAATGAATTTAACTACCAAAAGGATGCTTTTCGATTTAATGGGCTTTGTGGTGAATATTTTACGAAATGCTCTATACATTGGCGCATGGATACGTGATTCACTAGTTTATTACACAGAGAGTAAATGAAAAATGAAGTAATCAAAATGACCACAAAGTTTGCTATTAAACTGTGTGCTAACAAATGTTAAGTAATAAACTGAGTTAGACAGCATTATTTAATGATCAAAAACGATTCTGCTATGTTTGTATTTAGGAATCAAGCGACACAGCATCTAAATTATTGCTTTAGAGATCTAATTTGTATATGCCTTAAACTTCAATTATAGCCATAAAAACAGTCATTCGCCATAAAAACAGTCATTCTCAGAAGAGTATGTTACGTTATTAATTGAAAGTAATGAATAATCATAAATAAAATAAAAGTACAACATATATCGCAGAGGATTAGAGGACTTACTCTGGCCAACGATTGCTTTCAGCGACAGCTGCAGGAAGGCATGGAAAGTCCCATACAACATAAATCTAATTACAGAATATAGCAGTAGTTAAATAAAGTAACTTGTTGTTTACTATTATAAAAAGAAAGAAGTTCACGTCATTGTTCAACTTGTAAACATATCTGATAGTTTTGCTGACTCTCAGTAAAATTTCTGATCGGATTTTATAAACCTTTTTCTAGCCCTAATTTAACATATGTATATACGTTTAAGCTTCTATCTATAAAATTTTATTTCCATATAATAAACGACTTTGCTATAAAACTTGATTTTCTTGTAATTCCTATTATTAGATGGCCCCAAGCATTACTTTCACACATATCAATTTATTATGTATTAATTATCTTTACATTTGTCTTTTTTTTCACAGGAAGTTAATGAAATCATTATGTGCTCTGGTGTTAACTATAAAACGAGGTATAAAGATGTTGACTCCCTGTTCTTCTAGCCAGCAAGTTTTTATTTTCCTTTGAAGAATTTCTAGACAGCAGAAGATCAGTTCACTAAAATGATTTACTAGATTATCTTCATTTATATATTTAAGGGATTTTTTAATTTCAGCTTCTAAATTTGTTGCCTTATTAAGTTTTCTCGCATGCTAACATTTTCCTACATATTATTTTAGGTAATGATTGCATGATCGATTCTTATAATGAAGATCACAATGGACTGTTAGTTTCACAACATCAAATGTGTGTTTTCGAAGAAAGAAAATGTAATATATACAGGTTGACTTATCTCGACAAACAGGGTATGCGTGCACCGTTTTGCTCGTTTTCTAAACTGTGAGTAATCATTTATCAATTAATTAGTGTGTACTAATTAGAATACAATTACTTCTACAGAGGGATGTACTATATTGCAAGTAGTATCGATTATGGCAGTTTAGTTATAGTAAAATGTTACCAGTGCGTTAAGTAATTTTTTGAAGTTATTTTTCAAAATGATAGCTAAAAATAGAGAAAATTAAATTCAAAAAAAAAAAAAAAGATTTGTAATATCCGATTTGGTTCTCGTAGGAGTAATTAATATCTATTTAACATATAATTTTCCATTAATAGCATCGGCGTTATTGATATTACAAACCATTCTTTTAAAATTTAACATTCCCCACTTATAACTATCAATTAACTATTATTGTTCAAAAAAATTACTTAACGTACTGGTAATATTTTACTATAACTAAACTGCAATTTTTTTCATTATACGATTTTTTCCAAATCAGTAGTACGTTTTTTTTTTATAGTCAATAATAAGTCATGCGTTTCTTTACTTAAAAAGATTTAGAATGCTTTAATATCGCATGGTCGCAGATCTGAAAGAGATGAGTTCCATCTGATCTACTTATCACTAAATCATAGTATTGTGGTTTTTTTTCTAGTTAGATTAGAAGCATGTGTAAGATTTATCTTAGAGACCGGAAGCATTTGATTTTTTTAGAGACATTTGAGTTACTTTTGAAAATTTTGCATTTTTGAGAGCTATTTTTATAAGATGTTATTTTTAGATATTTTATTTGCCTATGGCGAAAAATTGATAGCAGTGATACATCAGTTTTCCAGCACTCCGCAGAAACAAGTATTTACTTTTAAAGAGTGGATCGAAACCTAGAGGAGTCAGGACACTCCATGGAGGTTAGATTAATGCAGAAAACTTCGCAAATTCCAAACCATTGAAATGACTGAAACCTACCACCGAGAAAATACCACTTCAAACTAGTCGCAAATTTTGAAAAAAGTACCACTAGTAAATAAATCTCTAAAAGATACTAACAGTATAACAGATTATTTGGAAGATTATCCTACGAAATGCGTTTCAAGAACTAATTAAAATGAAATTTAAATCATACACTGCTGTGTATTTTTCAATGGTTCGGAATTTGCGAAGTTTTCTGCATTAAGTGAAAAGAACTAGACAAAAATATTAAACCGTACCTTTGAATATCGATGACTGACAAATTGGAGTATCAGTCAGAAGAAACTAATGAGTCGGATTTAGTACAAAGTTCTATGACTTTGATAGTTTAAATGGCTTATTCTATCCTAAAGAGTTTTTATTGTGCTTTTCTGTTTCACATTGCCAACCAGTAATATGGTGCAATTTTTCCCAGTAGGTCATTTATAGATGTGAAGAAGTAAATCTACTAATGATTGATACAAATTAATTTATTGTAGGGTGTGATTTTCGGCTTATTCATAAAATGTAACCTTCTGTTTTCGGTATCGGATGACTTACATATGCGGTCCCTGGATGATGTTATGGGCATTTAACAAGGCCATTTTCTATTTGTAAATTTTTTTTTTTGCAATATTTCTTAGAAAAGTACTTTTCTAAAATATGAAAATTTGGTTTTCTACAATTATCAATTTCAGAAAATAGTTATGACAAGCTTTCAGGATCTGTTGAAGTAATGCAGCGATTGCAAGCTCATTCGTCTTTAGTGTACTGTGTTTGTGCAATAAGTCCATACCTCATTTGGAGAAAAATCTGAAATTTTCATTTGGCGTCTAGAAGCAGGCATATTTCAGTATATAATTCATATGTTTAATTCTTTATTAAATAGATGTAATGTTTTCCAGGAAATCTACAACAGTTATTTAACACTCTCACAGAAGGGGATTGCAGATTATTAAGTGTTCAATTTGTATCAGTCAGTCCTAACATTCGATTCGTGGTTTCATGTTCGAATGGAAAATTGATGTAAGTAAAATTGTATGTTGCAGCAATTAGTTTGAGTTGACTGCTGCAACCATTTAGAATCATTTTTTGTAACGTAAAGAAAATTCGCAAATTTCCTCTCATTAAGGATTTACTAGTTAAACAAAGCTTTCGATTCAAAAAAACAAGCAGTTTTATTCGAATCGTTTGGTGGTGATGGAATTCTGGTTAAAGTTTCGTTAAATGAAATCGCTGTATGTAGCGCTGTCTCATCTAATGGAGTTTCTTTAGTTATAAGTTGATGTAGTGATCAATATCTTTCCTGCTATATCATAATCATTTTTAATCATATATTTCTTTTTTATATAATAATCGTAGCCGTGGTAATTTCCTTTTGCAAGTTTGTTTACGATATGAGCCCACATCATCGCTCTAATTAGTTTCATCCAGTTGTTGTGAATTGTTAGGAATTTTTTGTTATTTGTGGAAGTTAGACACAGTCGAAGCCTTTATTGGTATCTATCGTGGAAATTATTGACTGCTAGATATTTTATTTTACCAAGCTCAAGCTTGGGTAATTAAATCAGCAAATCAACATTAAAAATTAGCGCAAAATCAATATTAAAAAAACACGCAACGAATAAATATAATTGTAAAACACTAAAATATTATTAAAGTACCCTAAAAAACATAGATTGGAACAATGGTTAGTGGGGAAAGTTGGTTAGTTTGTATTCAGAATTAAACTGACAACCAGTAATTTGGTGGAAATCATTTACATAAATGTAAAACAAAGATTGGTAACAAGATTAGGTTTTGTTGTTGTGTGAGAAAAGAAGAAGTAATTTTTGGTGATTAACGCATTTGGCAATAGATTAAGATTTGAAATATTAGGATTTGAATGTAACTTGGATGTATCATTTTTACGACAACTGTAATATAATATAGTAGTAATAATGAATGCAGAAATTAAGTATAAATAAAGGAGAATAATGAAATGTGATTCGTGTGGAGTGGAGTTGTCGTTTTGGGTTCCGTTTGTGTAAAAGCTTATATAAAAAGAGAATGAGAGAGGAAAGGAAGTGAACATAATGAAGTTGCAAGTCACATTATATATTATTAATGAAGGAAGTGAAGTTACATTTTATATTATATATATTTGATGTGTTAGTATGCGGTTATATATATATGCTAAGATGTAGGAGTGATTTATAATTAGACATTTTTGCGCATTTTTGTACAAAGGATAAAGTGTCTAGATATGATAATGAGTTACTGTTACGATGAGTTACATGGTTATCACACTGGATTGATATAAAAATTACAGTTTGTCTAGACATTATAATGGGTTGCCATATACATTACATAATGGAGGCTCATAGTGTAAGAATTGTATAAGATCGAAGGATTAATTAAGCATTATTAACATTTATTTAGAGCTTCGCGATATTGAAATTCGCGACACTCCCGATCTAGGAAGTTAGGTGATTTGAGCATTAGTTTTTGTTTTATTGCACTTCTAGTTCGTCGTGCAATCGATTTTTCCTCATTGTCGGTTTGCTTCGGTTCATTATAATTTTCTCTGAAATAATTTGTCGCTCTTCTCGTCCTTCCATAGTTTCAATTTCTAGAGGATACAGCATATTAATAGAGTGATTTGTTTGAGTTCCTCGATGTAATTCTATTAATGCATTTCTTATTCGTTTATCCTGACATTGAGTTTCTTTATTTTTGCCAATTTCCATGTACTACGAGGAGCGTTCGTTTCATTCACTATTACCATTCCTCCTTCAGTAAGGGTTTAATCTCTGTGCGTTCTGGAGATTTATGTTCTATTTGTGTTCTCTAAGCTAGTTAAATATTCTTCCTTCCATATAATCTGACCTTAGAAAGAAGAATTTGTATAGACATGATAATGAGTTATTTTAGAAAGAAGAATTTGTATAGACATGATAGTGAGTTATTTTAACA